AACAGCAACAGCAACAGCAACAGCAACAGCAACAGCAACAGCAACAGCAACAGCAACAGCAACAGCAACAGCAACAGCAACAGCAACAGCAACAAGAAGGACAATGGTGATGCTCCACAATCTTGTTGCTGTTGTTGCTGCTGCTGTTACTGCTGCTGCTGCTGCTGCTGCTGTCTTATTCTTGTTGTACATCACCGGCCTGTAATGATTGCCATAAAGCTAAATTTGCCATACCCAGCCTGGGACTACTAGTAGTACTAGTAGATCTCAGCATTTATCTTTACACACCAAATGACCCATTGGGTGATTGAATGCTAAATTAGCATTTTTAGCAATGATCTATAATATCGGGAATCAAAATTTCAAGGGACAGATGGCAAGGGAGGCAGGCTTCTTCATCTCAGTCTTTTTGAGAATCTGGAATCTTAAATAGTTTGTAATGACTAAAAAGAGGTCTGAGTAGGTACCAGTAGAGCTTTCTGTTGAATCTTACAGTGGACTTGAAATTTTGATTCTTGGGTTCCATCATAGATCTAGTACTAGTACTACTAGTACTAGCACATTTAGTAGAAAGGGGTCAAAAGACCCTTTCAAAAAACGCTAAACAATCTATAACTGTGGCAACATGTAATAGTAGTAGATTTTTGGTCTGCCTGTCTATCAAATTTAGCATTTCTATGATAATGGGAATCACCCATTGTGAGAGCAAGTCCAACTATTGTTGCRTTCCTGTGTGTGTTCTGTGTTCAATGTTTTAAAATTTTAAAAGTACCACCTCTGTACCGTATGTTATGTAGGTATTGTTTACTACTACCTCCGTCCCTCAATAATAGGACAAAATGCAGTACTCAATTTGTCCAGTAATAATTGGTCAGTACTACTTATATGTTCAACACGTAGAATCAGTACTGTAGATAAAAATTAAAAGTGAGAATGCGCAGATAAAAAAAAACAGCACGTGACAGCACGTGCTACGAATAAGTGCCTGACCAATATTTGGGTTCTCTTTTGACCAACTAAGACTGCACAAAAACATTCTCAATGAATACGATACGTACATCATGTAAAAGCTCTCAGTCTGGGCTTTTTAAATAAACCGGTCCCATCAGAAACAGACCAGTAGAACCCAACTGACGGTAAAATCACATTTACTACTATATGCCAAAAAGAGCCCTCTTTCAGTAGCTATTGCAAGTACGTCAGACACATTGACCATATTCAATCTACATGACTGTATAACAGAGTAATAGATCTGTTTAGTGCAAAAATAAGCAATCCAATTGCCCCAATATTGAGCTTATTTCAACTAAATAGGTCCATATTGTCCTATTATTGTGGGACGGAGGTAGTAGTAGTATTTACGTATGTTTGGCCTTTTTGAAATCATTTTTTAACCCTATTCGTTGAATAGAAGGATTCAACAAATAAGGGGTTAAACGTCAGCGTACGCTTGTGCCGATGATATCGCTTTGTTTTGTTCTCTGTTCCACACGTTTCCCGAAGCAAAGCAGTACGCAGAGGTGCGTACGAGTATCGTACGTAGTTTACCCTGCGGTTGAAACGTACTCCTCCTTTTCCATGAATGTGAGCCCCTGACACATCGATCGAGAAGCACGCAAAACACGCATCGTCGTCTGAGATAGACAGATAGATCCAATCAATCCCTACGGCATCCGGTCTCTCAGTTAGCAAGGAATCAATCCAGCGAAACTACGATTTCCCACTAATACCAGCAACCATGAAGATCCCTGCCGCCTCCCTCTCGGCTCTATTTGCCACACTGACTGCCTCGACCGCGGCATTTGCTCCCACGTCGACGGCCTCCCGAAGTTCCACCGTTGCCTTTCGTCGGGCTTATTCTCTAGCGATGGCCGATAAGCCGTACGAACCCGATCCCGACTTCGATTACGACATGGTAGTGATTGGAGGTGGGTCCGGAGGTGTTCGCGCCTCTCGAATTGCTTCGGGATACGGCGCCAAGGTTTTGTTGCTGGAGGGCCAGAACCANTTTTTTAACCCTATTCGTTGAATAGAAGGATTCAACAAATAAGGGGTTAAACGTCAGCGTACGCTTGTGCCGATGATATCGCTTTGTTTTGTTCTCTGTTCCACACGTTTCCCGAAGCAAAGCAGTACGCAGAGGTGCGTACGAGTATCGTACGTAGTTTACCCTGCGGTTGAAACGTACTCCTCCTTTTCCATGAATGTGAGCCCCTGACACATCGATCGAGAAGCACGCAAAACACGCATCGTCGTCTGAGATAGACAGATAGATCCAATCAATCCCTACGGCATCCGGTCTCTCAGTTAGCAAGGAATCAATCCAGCGAAACTACGATTTCCCACTAATACCAGCAACCATGAAGATCCCTGCCGCCTCCCTCTCGGCTCTATTTGCCACACTGACTGCCTCGACCGCGGCATTTGCTCCCACGTCGACGGCCTCCCGAAGTTCCACCGTTGCCTTTCGTCGGGCTTATTCTCTAGCGATGGCCGATAAGCCGTACGAACCCGATCCCGACTTCGATTACGACATGGTAGTGATTGGAGGTGGGTCCGGAGGTGTTCGCGCCTCTCGAATTGCTTCGGGATACGGCGCCAAGGTTTTGTTGCTGGAGGGCCAGAACCAACACGGACCCCCTAACTACAGTGCCATCGGAGGAACCTGCGTGAATGTTGGCTGCGTTCCGAAAAAGCTCATGGTATTYGCATCTCGCTACCCCGGTGCCATTGGTGAAATGACTGGATACGGATGGGACGGAGCCACGCCCGGAATCTTTTCGTGGGACAAATTCATGGAAGCTAAGAACGAAGAAATCACCCGTCTCAACAACGTYTATTCCAAGTTTGTTCTCGGCAACGCTGGCGTCGAAACCATCGAGGGACTCGGAAAATTGAACGGAAAGAATTCCGTCGASATCTCACTCACGGGTGGTGGCACCAAGACGGTTTCCGCCAAGAACATCCTGATTGCCGTCGGTGGATGGCCCTTCAAGCCCAATATTCCTGGAATCGAGCACACCATCACCTCTAACGAAATTTTTTACCTAGAGGAACAACCCAAGCGCATGGTCGTTGTTGGAGGTGGTTTCATTGCCTTGGAATTTGCCCAGATCATGGAGGGCCTTGGAACGGAAGTAACTCTCATGTACCGAGGCGATATGTTCCTTCGGGGATTCGACAACGACATCCGAAACCACCTTTACGAAGAAATGGAACGCAACACTAGTATCGACATTCAGCTCAACACGGATCCTACCGAAATCATCAAGAACGAGGATGGATCGTTCACAGTGGTCACTGGAGATGGAAAGAAAGTTGACTGCGACCAGGTCTTGTACGCCACCGGTCGCAAGGGAAAGATCGAAAACCTCAATTTGGAAAGTGCCGGCGTCAAAACCGAGGGATCCTTCATCCCAGTCGATGAGTACTCTCGAACCAACGTCGAGGGAGTTTATGCTGTCGGCGATGTGACAGACCGCATTGCTCTGACRCCCGTCGCTCTCATGGAAGGTCACTCGCTCGCCGATACCGTCTTYGGGGGAATGGACCGCCCCTGCGATCACGAATTTGTCGCTTCGACCGTCTTCACGACACCAGAAATCGGAACCGTCGGATACTCCGAGGAAGAAGCCGCTGCCAAGTACGGCGACATCACCGTTTACAAGACAAGATTCCGACCTATGGCCCATTCGTTCCCGAAGAGCGAAATGTTCACAATGATGAAGATCATTGTCGATACCGCGACCGACAAGGTGGTTGGTTGCCACATTGCTACAGATGGTGCCGGAGAAATGATGCAGGGTGTTGCCATTGCCGTGAAGATGGGAGCCACCAAGGCCGACTTTGATAAGACAATCGGTATCCATCCCACGAGTGCCGAAGAACTTGTTACGATGCGAACTCCTTCGTACCACTACAAGGACGGGAAAAAGGTAGAAGARTAAACGAAACAATAAGCAATTGTGAAATATCGAAAATGTACAAACCGAATGGWGCATAAATCAATCTGTGCACACGCTTTTTCTTTTCCTTTTGTAGATTGATTAGCACCRATTTTGCACATAGCACAGCGTCACAGAACTCACTCACAAATGCAAATAAATATTTCGATTCCTGTGGATGGTTGCCAAATGTYGAGTGCCTTCACTTATTACTGGCAAAGTATGAAAGATCAGAAAATGCTGCTGCTGTTGAAGATTACTGACTAGTGGTAACATACAGAACAAAAATCAAGATACTGTGATAGTACTGCAGAGTATTACAGATAGAAAAATGATGTGTCAAGTGTTATGTTGGATGATTCATATGATATAATGYACATGGTGAATAAATGCATATACTATTACTACATTCATGGTGGGAATCCACCTTAGTTGACATAGATCATGGTAAACTCAGAATGTTTGGTGCTAAGAATATTGGATAGGGAATCTTATACAAATTAGTCAATATCACCTGTATGCATCAACTTCCACTGGCCCAAAACAGACAAATTCTGTGAGGAGTAGCAGTCCTACTGTAGAGTGGTAGTGGTATACCTAGAAATCTGTAGAAATTACTGTACTACTAATACAAGTTAAGTACTTTGAACTTGGTCCAGAAACAGGATACCCCTATGACTGTTTTTACTTTCCATGAAACAAGTGTCCCCTATTTACTTGACAGTTTTGACAGTTGAATTTAAGGAATAACTATGTAGAATGTATAGAGTCACCAATACTGGAGACTACTAGAAATGAGCATGGGCATGCATTTAGAAAATATTCTTGCACATGAAATTACACAGTCCATTAACATGGAATTTAAAAAAATTGTCAAGTGCACCTCTTTTGAATAGGAGTGACCAATAGTACAAGAAAGKTTTCCATAGTACTGAAGAGAATTGTTGCCTAAAAAATGCTTCACTCTTAGCTATCATGTGCAAGTAGCAGCACATCAAAATGACCATTGGAACACAGCCAACTGATGGTAAAGTCACATTCACAAGCCAAAAATAGCTCTGTTTGAAGGCTTGAAATTTTATTAGTGCTGGTATGACATTAAAAGGCACAGCACATTTCAATAGTATTCAACAAGATCAATATACTATGTGTTG